AGATACATAAACTTTTGGAATTGACTGTATAGCCAATAAATCCTTAATATCAATACTTATCACATCTTTAAACAAAAGATTGAGTAATTTATGCTAATATATATGTAGATATTTTTATTTTTTAAACACAGAATGCATGTTTTTTATTTTCAAGCGGAATTAGTACATGTATCATGCATTTATGCGATACAAGTAGAATTATAATCATTTAAGCAGAGATCTCCTTGAAGGGACACCGATTTCTCCATATGTCCCTTAAAATTCCACCTGTCACGATGAATTTTCACGCTGTTTGCGTTGAAATACATCTTCTTATAGTGTTTTCAAGCGGAATTGATGCATGTGTCATGTATTTATGCGATACAAGTAATATAACAAAATAATATGGAGGATAAGTGATGTAGCATACACCGAGAGTTACGAGGAGAGTTCGAACTTTTACCGATAGCGCGTTTGAACGCGCAGTGAACGTGCAGTGAACGCGCGCAGAGAACGCAATCTGCCAATTAAGCGAAATGAACTGGCGCTGATGCAGTTATCGAATAAAATTAATGATAGTAGCAGATTACGAAATTCTATACATACGTCAGTCCGTGGACGCAAATGCAAATTATGCTTTTTTGCATTATAACGATCGCGCGATTCGGACTCGTTCTATTTACGTATAGATTCACGCGACTACTTAATAGATCCGTCGGAAACAATTTCATCTTCCCTTCCTCACTCGCGATCATCGATCGGACGAATTTCCAATCCGCCATCATCCAGGCGACACGCGTAGACAAAAATATGATAGTAAGACAAAATGATTTCCGTTTCATTATCTCATTGTAAACGATGAGTTCGCGCATACTAAATTTAATTATGCATCGTCTCTTTATATTACTTAACGATGAACATTGGAACGCATAAACGTAGACGACTCGCGGTGCGACCTCCGTCGACGCCGTGTAACATAATTCTCGTCGCGCGATAGACGCAGATCCACGTGTATTTATTGCTCGTTACATTGTAGCTCAGACAGTTATGCAACCGCGAATCGTCTTTCCGCGAGTATCACCACACGTATCGTCTGCGACATTGGATCAGCTACGTTAACCGCGAAGGACGACTCGCGAGTCGACTTTAATCACGCACAATTTTTCTAATTTACCATCATTTTTCTTAATCGTCATCTCGCATGATTCTCAATATAGGTGTTTGGCACGAGATTGTTTTACACAATAACGAAGTTTAAGGTAAAGGAGGTAGTACTGGGACAAAACGAATTTTGGGACCAGTACTTGGACATAATAGATATGTATTTAATAATTTACTGTCCAATTTTACAATCCCTTTTGAAACTTAATACGTACAAGTGGGACAAGACGGCAGTGGCTGTCCAGGTTTAGCCCCTCACTAATTAATCGCGCTGCAATACCTTGATAAATTCGGATCTGATATAAAAGCCATTCAAACGTATGATATATTTTTCACAATAAATGATTTAGTGTATTTTCATAACTTTTCAACCCTTTTTCTTAATCCAACTGTTTCTCAATTCGCTTAGAGGCGTCATAATAATATTGTCCCAGTTCTGATTCCATACTTGTCCTACTACACCACTCGTTCAGATTAAATGTGTCCTACTACTGCGGTTGACAGCAATTTTTTTTTAATGCGATTATTTTAATACATATATTACAAAAGAAGGTTTTTTTTTCTTAAATATGACTATGAGATCCCAGCTATCTGCTAAGATGATAAGTTTTCATGTACTATGCTTAAATTTCGTAGTAAAAAACATTATAAAAAATTTATGTTCAAAAGTGTCCAGGTACTACCTCCTTTACCTTATTTGATTGACGAATAAGAATTTACCGTACAAACGTCTGTGCCATGAAAGGTCAGAAAAACAAGTACACGGAATAACGTTCTCTCATGGAATAGAAAAATGTGTCACGTGAAACGTACGCTTGCGATCGATCTACTACCACACGTCGTGAAACAGAAGAAAACATTAGCGATCGCGTTCTGTTTTTCATGTTTCGTTTTTATTTATTCCTCAACTTATTTTTATCACATTTATCGAGCTTGATGCATACGGTGCAGTGAACGTTTGAACTTATAAGTGTAAATGCGATTAAAGTTATGAAACAGAATTAGCGAGAAAAACATTGTATCTGGTAGATAGGATATTTAAAATTGTTATGGCTACACTAGTTAAAATAGCGACACGCAGCTGAACTTTTGCACACGTAATCAGTAATCGTATCGCATATTTTGCAATTTTCTATGAAAATAGCTAATTATGTTAGAACTTAGAACCATAATTCGAACGCAAATAGACGATCGAAAGCAGTCGAAGATGGAGATAACATGACAGTGAAAAGAAAACTGACAAATGTAGTATATAGGTAAAGCCGGTTTCGGCCGATTTGAACGTCACTAAAACTGATTTGCATATTCGTTTCATGCTGGCTGGTAACGTCAGTCAAAATGAGAATATTAATCTTTTCACGACAATCGTATGGAAATTTAATAGACGTAACGGTTGATGTGATTTCACGTATTAACGTCGGTGAAATGAATGCGGTAGAGGTTAGAATATGATTAGTAGAGTAAAAGAGAAATACGAGTGCACGTCACCTCCACGTGGCGAAGTGTACGAACTTATACATATGTATTTCAGAGTGAGGATCAATCCTCTTATGGGTAGTAGTAGTAATAATAATAATAATAATAATCAGGTAAATGCTTGATCAATAAAAAGATAAATGTTAAGATCAAAATACCGGCAAGTGTTTTTATACAGATGATTATGGAAATCAGATGGAGAGCAAAAGTAGTAAGAACTGTACATAAAATGTTAACCTTGTAAATTATTTGCATCATTCATACAGAATTTATTATCGCATGTACGTTTACTCTTTTGACACATAATTACATACAAACACGATTATCAAGAGAACCGTGGTATAAAAACATGCATCGAACGCGTTTGTCAGATGAACGAAGCAATTACTTTTATCGTTGTACATTAAAATAGAAAATAATTGCAAACATTTAATGGACACTGTTAGATGCTGAAAGAGGACAGATAAATTTCAACGACAGTTCTTTGACGTTCTTATCGAGCACCGAGTTACTAATTGAACGAAGCATTGCAAAGATACTTACCGTATTGCACCTAGCTATTATCTAATTAAACAGTTACTATTAGTTAACGACGAGCAGTCTTCGAATGACATAAGCTAATTCCTCTGTCTTCAACGATACGGAAGCGCGAGCGTTAATTAAATTTCCATTAAAAATAACAGATAATACAAATCGTAATATGAGCTCTTCAACTTTTTACATTAAATTCTTCTACCTCATAGGTTCGAAAATTCGTGCTTGTCGAATGAATTCACGATGCGTGTTATGCTAATGACGTCAGTGAGAAACGCCTGTTCGTAACGAAGACAATTACGATTCAACGGATTCTTCCTTGAAAGGGAAATTGTAACCGACAGGGAGAGAGGCAAAAGGACAAGTAGAACAGCATGGTGTAAAGAACTCGGTAGAACAAATTGTATGGTAAATATGTTTAATTTCATGCAATCGTCGTACAAAACAAAATAAATTAAAAAAGCAAGCAAGATTATAATACTGGCTTTTGACTAGTAATATATAAAATTTGCAGCTATCCGGTAAACCACATACAATCGCGGAGAAACCAAATGTGTATCGCGATATTCGCGAAACAATGCAAACTATTATATTTAACAATTAAGTATGGCACACAGTGTGACTCGACATATGTACATTTAAATTTTTGTCTAACGTACGAATAACATACATAGAAGAGGAACGACGTATGATAAATAAATCCATCGAGTATCATCTAATATCTGCGATTCTCGATTGTCTCATTTCGAACACGTAATTCGAACTGGTTGGCGATCGATCCAAGTTGAATTCGTCGGTTGTTCGACGTCGACATCCATTCGTTGTTGACCCGTCAAGAAGTTGTCGGTGACATCGATATTCCCTCCGATAGGGAACGGAACGTCGACGGCGGCGGCCGGATTTATACCTGGCCACGACATCGTATCCAAGTAGCCGTGAGACCGGATCCTTTGATCATCGATCCGAATAAATAGTACCTATCGATTTTCCCCGACGGCGTAATAACACCTGTCCCGGTGGTACGGTTTCAAGATTTCCCTTGTAAGTTGCAGGGGGCAATTTGCGCAGCGAGTCCGACCGCGCGATCAACTGATGCCGAGTCCTACCGCCTTTCATTACGTCCGTGGCATTTTCCGCTACTGATACAATTCGCTGAACTCGCCGACGAGGTTCGTTGGCTCCATCGCGGAATTGTCCCCAGTCATTGTCGGTTGCGACGGAGGGCGAAATAGGAAGGAAAAGTAATGAACAGTAGCTGTTTCCTTTCGTTCAGCGACGTTGTTCACTTCCTAGCCCAGAGCATCCTGTGGCCGTGGTTGCATCTGCTCAGGTACCCATCGCTACCTCGATTCGAGCTGCCGCCGCTTCCTGAGCTCGACATACTTTCCGACCTCTTGATGGTTTTCTTGGTCGGGTCCAATAGCAGTCGATCCAGCATCTGACGGATCGTACTGTGCTTGCGGTTGAACGGATTCGTGTACATCGCGGCGATCGTTTACTCCCCGAGTTTTACTTGTTTTAATCGTTTTACTCTCTGACGCTGTTTCACCCCGTCGCGTCTATCTCGATCGTCGAAAGGGAACGTCGCACGACTTGTTATATCACTTTCGCGCGCTTGAACTCGTTTCTACTTTTATACCGAGATTTCAGAGGTCTGCTGCTGGCACTGGTCTCTCGCACTCACTGGCACGCCACGCTTGTGAACGCAGGACGCAGAATGAACGATACGAACGCGGGAGCAGCTGAGCGTCGTTACCCGACCCGACACCCGACTGTGTTTTATATACGGCCGAGGCTCGGTGACCTTCGTTCTTTCTCGGACAAGATCGGGACCGCCGCGGTTCTCGATAAACTGAACGCAGGTGCATCGGCGGCGGCAGCGGTTGCGGCGGGGCACACTCTTAAAAGTGCAATCGCCTCCTGGTTTCATGCGCGCTGGCGAAAGTCAAGGGTGAAGGGGTTTCCTCCACGTGCCGCGACACGCACTCGCACCACTCTCGTTCGATACACGTTTACAGTGGTTCGCAACTTAGAAATACATGCGGAGATCCTGAATATGTATATATATAATAATAATTATAATACTTTATTTCACACACAGAGCCCATTATAACACAACAGAAAGAATACAGTAAAAATATAGTAACAATATCAGACATAAGATGAGATAAAAGAGAAAGAAAAGAAAAGAAAGACATATATTAAATTAAATAAGTATAACAAAAGAGTGGAAGTGAATCAGCAGGGATTAAGACTAGGGCTAGCAAGTAAACATGATACAGTAAGTGTACCAGGAATATTAGTGAGAAGACAAGGTATATCTTTCTTTTAACAGATGTAACTCCATCATGAAATACGCCAATGATGGAGCCTAATTCATTGACTGTCCTGCAAGGTTTAGTGACCGGGTCAATCTCGCCATACCTCGAGAATAGTCGCGGTATGTAAAAGGTAGGGACAGATCTAAAAGGTGTGGGAGGCACATGCATTCTAATTTACTCGTTTTTGTAAAGAATGTTTAGCTGTATCGCTTGATGCATAAAAAAGTACCTTATTTATTTAAAAAAACAATGTTGACCTTCATATATCCTTGACGCATCTACCTACGGAAAAACTAATAACACCAGAATATGCCCCACTCGATACCATTTAAGTTTCCTATGAAACATTTTTCGCTACATGCCACAATACCAAAGTTGTCAACATGTCGAAATCGGCTAAGACACTTTGTATATATACATATATGTATATTATTGTATATCGATACCTTTGTTCTATTCGCGAAACGTATATGTAAGAAAAATGAGATTTTGACGCCAGAAGAGCAAAAAGGCTTACCTCAAAAGATATCGAGGTCGTTCGGCTGGGCAGCCCCGAGTCGCTTCTCGTTGGGAAGCTAATGGCCGCCACGGCGGTGGACATTCCGAGAATTATCTGAAAAAGAAGAAGAGGAAAAGAAAAGAAAGAAAAGAAGGAAATCCTGTTAGAAGGTCGCAAGCCATAGTTCGCGGAATTATTTTAAGAATGTTTGCTCAAATTGGAACTCGTTAAGGAAGTCGGCTCGACCCGTATGAAATCATTTACGCTTATGTCAATTGTACCACATTGTTGTAGCCAATAATAGCTATCAGTATTTTTAATGTACCTTCTAATGTATGATCTCAGTATTATTTTGAATCTGACAGAACACTGGCAATATTTGCTCTGCACACGTTAAATAAATAGTAAACAGCGCCGACGGTTTAAGTACTCACGTCGCGCCACGTAACTGGATAATCGGGGAAAACCCCCTGGTACACAGCTTTTTTTGCTACGATGTACGGTTTCTTCCCGCGAACAGCCAGCAACGTCATGTTTGTCCAGAACCTTCAACGATAAAACGCTTCTGAGGAATCATCTGTATGTTTCGTCTCATAATTGATAGATCGGTAGTAAAAATAAATTTGTCGGAACAAATTTCCGGTGATTTTGAAATGAGTCGATGGAAATGTCATGTAGAGTTCAAGGTACACGTGTAGATTTAGCTTCGCACGTGAACGAACCGAAACGAAACGAAAGAATGAAACTGGCTGGAGTGACGGTGCAACGATCTTAACGAGAGGTTGAGGTCATATTTCAGTGTCCTCCTGGGATATCGATATCGTCGAATTTAAATCTTCGACCAGTTACCTGTCCACCGAATCATTAATTTCCTTCCTGTTCCACTTTATTAGAATTCGATAGTAACGTACATACATATGTAGATATCCACGCCTGATCGTGGATCTGTTTAACTCCAAGTGTTTCACCTTTCACCCAGCTTGTTTATCGATCAATTATCACGAGTTACACGGGTACATCGACGAATTAATATTGAATTCGTTTGACGTTTATTAAACGCCTGTGTGATCGCCAGACCTTGTCTGGCTCCAAGTATTTGACGTCATTTCTAGTCAACGGTTCATTTATTCTACGCTGGATCATGAGTAGACGGGCGACGATCGCTTTTCTCTGCATCGTTAATTACCGATTCTTACGTACGACTTGTTTTCTTGCGTCCGATGCTAATCGGATCGATGTATCGAGTGATGCTGGGAACGGTTAGGGTAACGACGACACTTATTATCCTATCTGCGAGTGAAACAAACACCGTGTTATGAATTCATATGTGTATATGTCGGTGTCTTTCGTTAATAATTTAAAAACCATGGCTCACTTTACATTTTACCAAAGGAAATTGTTGTTCAGAAACACCTCCAGAATTACCTCTTTTGGTATCTAACACTTCTTCTGGGACACCCTGTATAAAGACGTCTGGTCTTCAAAGACGTTGGTGAACCACTTTTGATAAAAAACTGAAGACTTACGTTTGAAAAATTGACATAACGAGACTTGAAGCTGTAGCTATTACTTGTCGTTCGGTCTTAATACATTCTGAAAGCGTACAATTGCGTATGCTTAACTATCCTTAAGTTATGACGAGTATCCATATTCGATGAGAGCAAGGGATCCAAAAATATTTAGGAAACACTTTCTTCTAAGAGCTTATCTCGGTCGACTTTCACTAATCGCTTTTCGGTCACTAGGAAGAAAGTTCGTAAAATTTTTGCTCGGCCATCGTAAATGTGAGCCATCACCTCTTCTCTTTCACTACGATTAAGGAGGTCATCGTAATAAGGACAGTGACGTATTATTTATAGGCATAGTATTTATACGGCGACGCAGGTACTAGACTAATGGACGATAAATAAAAATACAGGGTGTCCCAGGGAAAGTGTTAGAGCCGAAAAGGGGTGATTTTGGAGGTATTTCTGAACAACAGTTTCTTTTGGTAAAATGCAGTGAGCCATGGTTTTTGAATTATTAACAAAAAACAGTGACCAATGAGAACACGCGTAGGGCCCGCACCCAGTCGTAACTGGGATCGTAATGCTCGGCCATGGCATAGTGCGGGCCTTACACGCGCTCTTATTGGTCAGTGTTTTTCGTTAATAATTCAAAAACCATGCCTCATTTCGCATTTTGGCAAAGGAAATTGTTGTTCAGAAACACGTCCAGAATCACGTCTCTTCGGTTCTAAGACTTTTCTGGGACACCCTGTATAATAATGACGCAAAGGTTTGCTACATCGTTCCGAAAATTATTGGTCGCATCAATAATAAGTAGATACATCGGTGAAACGTAGATTCAGTGACATGCACATTGCAGTTCACTACCAATTCATGTATGTATCAATACAAACGTGAATAGTTCCGTGAAACAGTTTTTTTGTTACAGTGTATTGACATGATTTTCTAGTTTAAGCTTCTCGTAACAATATCATCTTATTGACAGGTCGTTCGTTGAAAAACACATTGAACAACATGTTATTAACGATCCCGTAAGAATTTCACACGATTCTTAGAATGCACATTAAGCAATTAATGATGATCGGTGACCGGAGTTCGAACGGCGAGGTCAATTGTTTCACTTGGTTCAATCACGCACGTGTGGCATGTCAAGCTCGGAGAACAAGGGATTTGCTCGAACGATCGATGTGAGACGGCATGAAGGAGCAGACCGCACGAGCATTGGATGCACACTGCAAGTGGCAAACTTTGCTCAATGCCAAAAAATCTCACGATGTACCCGTCGCTGAAAATGAGCGAGAGTCGAGACGTGACATACCGAGGGCCAAGGGGATCATTCAATTTCCGCGCAATGACCAACTATACTCGTACGCCGATATTCAGAGTCGTTGCTTATTCTTAAGATCGTCTTAAGTATTTGCTTAAGTCCCTGTTCCCTGTACAGCTAGTAACAGTGAAATTGAGCCAGCTATGTGCATGTGTTAGTCTCTCCTAGGGGGACAAAATTCAAAACGAGTAATAAGTCAACATCTTATTTTTTCGATGCTCGATCTCGCATTGATATTGTTGGATTTTAACATAATTTTGACGCGTAAAAATAAAAATAATGTTAACGTACGCACATTACCAGCACCTACATTAAAATTC